AGACCAATAAGACAACAAAAAGAGATCAAGGGAATACAAATCAGAAAAGAAGTCAAACTCTCACTGTTTGCTGATGTTATGATAGTTTACATAAGCAATCCCAAAAATTCTACCAACGAACTTCTACGACTCATAAACACTTTCAGTAATGTGGCAGGACGCAAAATTAACTCAAAAAAATCAGTAGCCCTCCTGTACACAGATGATAAAAGGGCTGGGAAAGAAATCAGAAAACAACGCCTTTCACAATAGCCACAAATAGCATAAAATACCTCAGAGTAACTCTTAACCAAACTATTGGAAGACTTGTATGACAAGAACTTTAAATCTTTGAAGAAAGAAATTGAAGAAGACACCAGAAAATGGAAAGATCTCCCATGCTCTTTGGTAGGCTGAATTAACATAGTAAAAATGGCAATCTTACCAAAAGCAATCTACAGATTTAATGCGATGCTCAGAAAAATCCTTCACAGACCTCGAAAGAACAGTACTCAACTTTATATGGAAAAGCAAAAAACCCAGAATATCCAAAACAATCCTCTATAAAAAAAAAAAAAGAACTTCTGGAAACATCACAATCCCTGACTTAAAACTCTACTACACCGCTACAGTACTGAACACAGCCTGGTATTGGCATAAGAACAGACAGGAGGACCAATAGAACCGAATAGAAGACCCGGATATTAATCCACACTTTTTCAAATACCTGATTTTTGACAAAGAACAAAAAATATCAAATAGAAAAAAGAAAGCATATTTAACAAATGCTGATGGCATAACTGGATATCAACATGTAGAAGAATGAAAATAGACCTATATCTATCACCATGCACAAAACTCAAGTCCAAAAGATCAAAGACCTCAACATAAAGCCAGCCACACTAAACCTTATAGAAGAGAAAGTACACTTGAGCGCATTGGAACAGGAGATCACAACTAAATATAACCCAAGCAGCACAGAAACTGAGAGAAACAATTAATAAATGGGACCTTCTGAAACTGAAAAGCTTCTGTAAAGCAAAGGACATGGTCAAAAAGACAGCTTTCAGAATGGGAAAAGATCTTCCCCAACCCCACATCAGACAGAGGTCTGATCTCCAAAATATACAAAGAACTAAAGAAAATTGTCATCAAACAAACACATAATCCAATTTTTTAAAAAATGGAGTACAGACCTAAACAGAGAACTAACAACTGAGGAATCTAAAATGGCTGAAGACACTTAAGGAAATGTTCAACATCCTTAGTCATCAGAGAAATGCAAATCAAAACAACTCTAAAATTCCATCTGACACCAGTAAAAATGGACAAGATCAAAAACACAGATGACAACTTATGCTGGAGAGGTTGTGAGGGAAAAGGAACACTTCTGCATTGCTGGTGGCAATGCAAGCTGGTGCAGCCCCTTTGGATGTCAGTGTGGCGATTTCTCAGAAAATTAGGAAACAACCTTCCTCAAGACCCAGTAATACCACTTTTGGGTATATATTCAAAGGATGCTCAATAGTGCCACAAGGACATGTGCTCAACTATGATCATAGCAGTATTTTCTGTAGTACCCAGAATCTGGAAATAACCTAAATGCCCCTCGACTGAAGAATGGATACGGAAAATGGAATACTACACAGCAGAAAAAATAACGACATCTTGAATTTTTCAGGAAAATGGATGGAGCTAGAAAACATTATTTTGAGTGAGGTAACCCAGATACAGAAAGACAATTATCACAGGTACTCACTCACAGGTGGGTTTTAAACATAAATCAAAGAAAACCAGCCTACAAACCATAATCCTGGAGAACTTAGACAACAATGACAACACTAAGAGAGACTTACATAGATCTAATCTTCATGGGAAGTAGAAAAAGACAAGATCTCCTGAGTAAATTGGGAGCATGAGGACCTTCAGTGAAGGTGAAGCAGGAAGTAGAGAGGCTGGGAGGGGAGCAAAGAAAAATATAGAGCTCAATAAAAATCAATAAAAAAGGAAATAGAATTTTTTAAAAAAGTTCTCTGATTCTAGTGCCTTCTCCTGTTGGTTTGTCCTGTCCAACTTTAATGTGATAGTTTTTGTTCCTTCTTATATTTTAATTTGTTATATTTTAAATGCATGAGCGAATGAAAGAATACCTAGTCACTAGGGTAAAGGTAAACAACTGGACTGTCCTCCCTACCTGCTGAGAGGGGAAAATCCATTTTCTCCAACAGATACTAGGAATAGAAGCAATCCAGGGCAAGCCTTGTGTCTTACATTCAATCGGACTCCACAGTGTGTGTGTGTGTGTGTGTGTGTGTGTGTGTGTGTGTGCGTGCTTTTATTTTATTTCAATTTGGTGTTTTTGTTAATTTTTTTTTGGTTTGATTTTGGAGTATTGTTTTATTCTATTTTATTGGTTTGGGATGGTCATTGGGGTTTTGTTTAGTTTTTGTTTGTTTGTGGAGAAAGAACTTAAAGTTAGGTAAGTGGAGGAAGAGAGATAAAAAAGAATGTGAAATATAAACAAAATATATTTAAATGTAAAAGTTGTTTTTACAACTTGCATGTGAAAAAAGAGCATGTTTTAGTATAAATGTATATGCACATGGATGGAACTAGGTGTGTGTTCTATTGAGGAAAAGATACTGATTACTGTGTAATTTAAGGAACTTTATAGATCTCTTGTCACAAGTTTTTTAAATTGTTCTTTTACTCTGGGGTTTTTTGCAGGAAAATAAATACAATCTACACTTTAAATTCTGTTACTGTATATCACTATTCATTAGTAGCCATGGTGGGCTGAAATGACAGAATATTACTCACAATTAAGCATCATGTTAGTTTCTGTTTCAGCTCTGACAAAGTCCTGAGGCACTTAACATAATTCTCTTTATTTTCTCTCTCTCTCTCTCTCTCTCTCTCTCTCTCTCTCTCTCTCTCTCTCTTATAAATGATTGTATAATTTCCAGAACTGAAGGTATAGTGCTTCTCCTTCCCTGTTGTGTAAAAACACTGATTTTGCAGTAAAATGGAAAGTAAGGGGAGAAACTTGATATAGGGTTTAAGTTTTCAGAAATGTTGTGATTTATAAAGCTGCAGATTCCCTTGGGTTTCCTCTCTGAGGTCATTGCCCCTCAGGTGCCATCAATGAGTAGTGTAGTGGCCTGGTCTTCTGAGCCCTTCACCCCTTCTCTGACAGCCACCTTGGAGTGTTTTTATATAACACCTTGTTTTATACCTAAATAAGAGAGAAATTGGCCTTGCTTATAATTTTTCGTGCTTTCTCCTCAGCTTTCATCTTCCCCATCTTGATCAAAACACAGATGTAGACTTAGTAATGTGTATACCTTATCAGCAGAGGCATCTTCACTCTAAACTTTTCAATTTTCCAGCTTTCCTCCCCTCAAACAGGAAGAACAAGAAAGCAGAAGAAAACACGTAACTCAAGACAGACTTTGAATGATGGATTGAGCACTAGACTGAATGCTTATGAGGTGGCTGCCTGTGTTTGGGGATGAGGATTTCTTCTGCCCCGAGCAAAACTGCACTGTGAGCTAATTATTCATTGTAAATGTCTTGAGAGATCACAGTTGCCAGACTGTAGAGTTGCCAGGAGGCTCTGGCTAAGATTCGATGATGATGATACAGGGAATATGAAGTGATGGTTCTTCAGTTGAAAAATAATTTTGCTTTTCCAGTCTGTTTTCTTTAGTTCTATTCAAAATCTTTTAGCCTTAGTTTCTTAAAAACTTGAGTATTTACGATTTATGTCCTCTTCCTTCCAAACTGGATAAAGTGCTCTCACAAAGCAGAACATAGGCAAAGTAGAAAAATTTCTGAAGCGCACCAAAAAAAAAAAAAATTGCCAGCACACTAATTACTTATAATGACATAAATCTATTAAATCTGATTTTTTTTAATTTCTGGTAATAGCTAGAATATTACTAAAATAATACTAAGAATTTATGAGAATTATTCAATCATGAGTATATATACATATAATTTTTGGAAGATGCAATGTCAATTGAGTGTTTCTATGTATGCATTCATGTATGTGCTCATGTGTTTTGATGTGTATACATGTGCACACATGAGTGAAGGCTAGAGGTCAACCTTGGGTCTCCTTCCTGAGGAAACAAACACACTCTTTTTTGAGACTGGGTCATTCACTGAGACCTGAGCCTCACTAACTGGATTGTCTGGCTGGTTCCATCTCCGCAGCACTAAGATTACAAGTGCGCACCACAGCATCTACCTCGTTCTGAGGATTGAATCAGGTCCTCAGATTTCCATGGTAACACTTTGCTGTGCCATCTCTGCAGCCCCATTTATTTTCCTTCTTATTTCTTGTTTTAGATGTACAAGAACAAATTAAGATATTTTTCCACTTTAATTATTTCTGCTATTTTAAATTATTTTTTGTTTGAACCGATTTTGTTTTACTTTTTCTTTCTTTTATTTCTTGAATTTCAGCAAAGTCTGATTTAATTATTGCTTTTTTTAAATTTTATTTTACATTCCTTTCACAGTTCTCCCCTCCACCCCTCCTCCTGCCCTCACCCCACTATCCCTCCCAGTCCCAGCCCCATCCACTCTTCCCAATGAGTAAGGGCTCCCTTGGGAAGTCAACAAAGTCTGGCACATTAGGGGAGGACCAAGTCCCTCACCCCCATATTAAGACGGAACGTGGCATCCCACCATAGCAAATGGGCTCCAAAAAGCTAGCTCATACACCAGGAATAGATCCTAGTCCTACGGTCAGGTGCCTCACAGATAGTCCAAGCTTCAGCACTGTCTCCCACGTATGTAATTCATAGACTGGTGCTTCCTCCACTTAATGATCAGTAACTATGAAAAATACAAAAGAACTTTATCAATTGAAAGCAAGTAATGACCCACATAATTAAAACAATAGTTTCCATCCGGTGAATATTTTAGTATAAGACACACTTACATTTTATAGTTTTTTAAATAAAGAACTATGTCACATATAAGCAAACAAGCAAAAAGCAGAGGCTGGTATCACAAGTTTAATATATTTTAAATGTAAACATACATTCAAGTAGCACATTTAAAGAATAATATAATAGATTTCCATTTCTTAATCTCTAGTCTTATCTTCAATGGTATACTATTAACTTATTAACTAAAAATATATTACTTAATGTATCCCCCAATATAGTCAATACCATACTTTCTATACTGTAAACTGGGTTATAAAGCAACAATGTAAAATGTCTGAATCACAAACAATCCCGAATGTTGGGGAATTCCTAATAACAGACCTTGGCTTGAAAGCTACAGACAGTGATTAAGGAAAGGTTCTTGGATATTTCCAGTTGACTGCTACAAACCTCCACACACAGCTGACAGCAGCAGAAGGTGGTCAACCTGATGATCCACTCCCCAAAGACTCAGCCTGTGCTGAACCAAGACCGCAGCTCCCAGTTACCGCTTCAACACGGAGAAAAGAAATTAACACCAGCGAGGAGAGGATGCGCACACTCATACACACACACTTTCACACCGCTCCCGAACCTTCCCTGCTGTACTTATTTGTGCTTGGAGGAAGGTTTTCAAAAATCCCTTTCTCGAATCAGGTTTACACTGCGTTGATTCTCAAAAACAAGAAAAGTGGCTTTTAGCAGTTTGAAAATGGCAGTTCCATCAAAGCCACACTGTGATAATTTTCATTCAGTTTAATGTCCACGGTTTCACCCTAAGGAAAATCCCTTGCATCGCATCAACCTGCAAAGTCTCTACTGGCATCGTCAGTTCCAACCCATTTTATGCATGAAGTGACTCCTTCCTGGAAGGAGAAAAATGCAGTAGATGCAAATATTTCTCTACCGTGGACTAAGTTCTAACCAAGGAGAAACAAGCACTGTAGCTGTGGTGTTCTAGACAACGGCCAGGTGTGGCTCAGCTGAGGTGAGGCTGGACTGTGCTTTTTAGTGTCATTTTGGGAACTTGTGGACATTGACTCAAGCCTCAAGCCTGTGTCAAAAAATTTCGGAAGCTCTGACCTTCTGAAAAAAAAAATCTGCAGCAATCAGAAGCAAGAAGCAGCAGGCTCCTGGAGTTGCACCAATTCCCCTAAAGAGAGCGGTTAAAACAGTTACGCTGTCCCTCAGCTCCCTTGTCTGTCCTGCCTACCCTTTATTTAGTCAAATCCTGTCCAGCATTTTACTTTCACCAATAAAGCATAAACTCTGAAAGGAAATTTTTATTTAACTAAGCAATAGTTTTTTTTTAAAAAAATGGGTTGCTAGTTTTTAAAACTTTATTTCTAAATATTCTATTTTAGTTTTCACTGGTGCAATATAACCAAATGTATTTATTTCCCTTCAACAACATTAAACTGTCAAGGGAGTTCTACTTAATATTAGAAAATTATTTGTAGTAGTATTGGGAAAAATGTTGACGTAGAATTTAACTGGGCTCAGCATGCCCCATCAAAAGTGAGAGTAGGAATCTATCATAATATAGGAACCTTTAAAATAGACTTTACTGATAAGGCATCCAAAAGAGAATACACACTTTAAAATAAATAAAAAAGTGTATATACATAATATGATACATAGAGAGATGAAATGACCCCTGCTGATTTTAAGGAAGTCCCCATTTATCTGCCTTTGATTGCAGTCATAAATGTAATACAGCTCAGTTTTGTTATTCCCACAATCCCTTAGCGCTAGTGGCAGCCACACGAGCGGACCACCATGTTTCTGTACTTCTTCAGAATGACATTGGAGCTGTCATCAAAGTACAGGACAGAGATGGCGTTCAGTTTGGTCGGAGCACAGCAGGGCTTGGGAACGTGGTCAGGAAACATCAGGTGTACCTGGCAAAGAAAGAACATAAAAAGGGAAGTGTGTCTTTTGGAGAAATGGGGTCAACATTTTATTTACAGCTTTAAGAATATGATGTTGAGCCGGGCGGCGGTGGCACACACCTTTAATCCCAGCACTCGGGAGGCAGAGGCAGGCGGATCTCTGTGAGTTCGAGGCCAGCCTGATCTACGAGAGCTAGTTCCAGGACAGAAACCAAAAGCTACAGAGAAACCCTATCTCGAAATCCAAAAAAAGAAAAAAGGAAAAAAAAAGAATATGATGTTGATGTCATGACTCTCTGACAGGCATTTGTCATCTGGCTCCTTTATATACCATAGATGACTTGGAGACAGGGGCTGCTCGAAAGGATGCATTGTCAACCAACAAGCACTAAGAATCAACAGTTCTACATATTGGGGGCTTGAAATGAGCTCATCAGATAAAGCAAGCTCTGTGTGGAGTACTGAGTGGAATATTTCGGGGAGGTGGGACATGACACTTAGTAATGACCTGCTTTAACTGAATAGCTGTCTTCTGTGCCCACTACAAGAATAACAGAGGCTGTGGACTCAAGTTGGAACAGACACACTTGGACTACAGAAAGTTTTAAGTCTGCAGGATATTGTAGTAGGATAGTTAAATCATGACTCACAAACAGTATCTCAACTCTTACTCCTACGTAGAAAAGACAAGCTAAAAACCACAATGAAGTAAAATCTATACTAGTTTTGCCTGCACTCGGGACCCTTTTTCTCTTACTGGGTTGCCATGTATAGCCATGATATGAGGTTCTGTTCCCAGTCTTACTAGGCTATGTTTGGTGGATATCACCAACAGCCTTTTTTTTTTAAAGAGAAACAGAGAAGGAGTTGATCTGGCCTAGAAAGGGGAGGTAGGAGAAGATACTGGGAGGAATGAAGGGAGGAGAAATTGCTCTAGTCAGGATGCAATTTATGAGAGAAGAATAAAAGTTAAAATAAATCCAATACTTGTTTTAGAGCAATGATATCAACTCTTCTTCATAGAATTTTTTTACTGGACTGACTGGAGCTTAACATGGTCTTTCTTTCCCTATGCACTCCTTAGACAACTGCCAAAGAAACAAGCTGAAGTTGAAGCAAGGGGTCCAGAGAGTTTGCACATTGAATATCCATTCCCTTAAAAGACTGAAAATGTATGGAAAAGTAAAGCACTTAAGTAAAAGCTCGGAACTCATTTTAATCAGACTGGCAGTTTGCCTGTGTGTTATAATAATTGAGCCAGAAGCCAGAATGTGGTTCCCACCTACTCTGGCCCTTCCCCCAAAGGGGTTTATGGGAAGTCCCCTTGATGAGCCTTAAGGGATCCACAAAGAAGCAAACATGGCCTCTCAGAGTTTTGGCTCCACAGTCTCCTGGCTGAGATGATATAGGAGGCTTGCATGTGAGCAAAAGCACAGGATAAATGAGCAGTTCCACATGAACTTGAAATTTCCTAAGACCTTGCAAAACTAAAAGTCACGGAGCTTTTACAGATTTCAGATACAACTTCTATTCCTCATCAGCTTGATCTCCCATAACCCTAGCAGGCGTGATTGATAACCCCCAAGGTTTCAATGGCCTTAGCAGCCTTCAAAAGCAGCCGCTCCAAGCAAAATGGATTGTTCTTAAATGATTCTTCCAACGTATTCGTCATAAAAATGCTCTTCTGTAACAAAAGGTCTGACTGCCTTCTCATTCCATGTCCTTCACAGAACAAATGCAAAAATATTTACAACACCACAAACACTGAAGTCCCACTTGCCCTGTGACCTTCGGGTTTGGAATGATATGTCTTCTCTACAGGATAATAAGTAGCACAGATAAAGATCTTCTAACTTCACATCAGGGTTTCGTTTTGTTTTCTCTTTGATACTACTTCCAGACTATAGCCATAAGAACCAAAATACTTATTTATATATTTATGAGGGAAAAAACAAAGTAAATAAGAGGATTATTTGACAAAGGATTTTTTTTTTACAATCAGTATTCATGTTTAGCCTGAGGGAAATTTGACAAATTGGATATATATCTAAGAAAGCAAAATTCTGCTTCCTTCATCAGGCATTAATACTCTGCAAACAAAAACAGATAAAGAATTTTGAGAAATAAAGTAGCATCATTGTATAAGCTGTCTTAGTTAAGGTTTCTGTTGCTGCAATGATGCACTGTGAACACAAACAACTTAAAGAGAAAAGGGTTTATTTCATCTTACAACCTGTAGCCCATCATCTGAGGAAGTCGGGCAGGAGTCTGGAGGCAAGGACTGAGGCACAGGCCATGATAAATGATACTTACAAGTTTACTCCTCACGGCTTGCTCAGCCTGCTGTCTAGTAGGACCCAGGCCACCAGCCCAGAGGGAACTCATCCAGCATGACCAGAGCCCTCCCACATCAACCATAACCAAGGAAATGTACTCCAGGCCTGGCCACAGGTCAATTTGGTGGGTGTGGTGAGGCAGGGCACATTTTTTTTCGTTGAAGTTCCCTCTTCCAAAATGACCCTACCTTGTGTCAAGTTTAAATAAAACTATCCAGCACATAAATTAATAGTAGCTGTTTCTCTCTGTCACTACATATGTAGTGGTCATGACTGCTCCTTCAAAAAAGGAATCATGAGCATGCTTCTCCATCTCCCGGCAGGTCTGAGTACAATACCCTTGCAGAGCCTAGCTGCTCCCTATTGCTCAAGAATATTAACCCGTCTTAAGAAATGTTTGTGAAGTGAGGCATAGCTGACTTCAATTCTCCCCAGGGATTTACTTTATGCCTCAGTACTGTCATTAAAGTAGGCTTTCTCATGATAACGGCTTTTGTTTTTTGAGACAGAGTCTATCTATGTAGCCCTGGTTAACCTGGAACTCACTCTGTAGACCAGGACCTGCCTTTACCTCTAAGTGTTGGGATTAAAGGCATGTGCCACCACTGCCTGGCCGAAAAGAACATTTTATATGTGGCTGCCTATTAAAATGCTTATTTGCTTTTTTGTCCTCTCACTGATTTTTTTTTTCCAAAAGTTTATAAAACCCGTGCTTATCCACCATAGACAACATTTCAGACAAGCCAGGAAAGTCTACAGTGTCTTTTAAGTCGAAGTGGTACAGGTAAGCATCAAGTGATGTGAGAGGTCCTTCTGTCTATGTGTTGCTTTTATTGGTTAATGAATGAAGAAACTGGCTTGGCCTGATAGGGCAGAGAATAGCTAGGTGGGGAAAACTAAACTGAATGCTAGGAGAAAGAAGGCAGAGCAGAGAGAAGTCATGGAGCCACCAGAGACAGACACGTTAAAACCTCGCTGGTAGGCCACAAACCTCATAGTAAAATATAAAATAATAAAAATGGGTTAATTTAATATGTAAGAGCTCACTAGGAATATGCTATCCTGATTAGCCAAGCAGTGATTTAATTAATACAGTTTCTGTGTGGTTATTTCAGGAGTCCAGGCAGCGGAGAAACTGTTGAACAAGTGGCCTCCTACTACAATCGAGGAATTCAAATACTTGATATGTCTGCTTATAATTATATTATATTTACGTGAGTCCTTATTTAAAAACTAGTTATTCTATCCATCGGCTTTTAGGTCTAAATGGGTCAAAGGGAAAGGTAAACTTGTTTGGAGCAGAGGTTACAAAATCAGCCTCCCTCACACAATAGGGTCGTTCTGCCAACAGCAGACAACTCAGCTTCTATCAGTGTCTTGTGGCTCTACAGCTGTGTTCTCTACTTTTTCTCCTAGATAGATAATTATGGTTTTCATATTAACTCAGACAGTAAATAGCAATTCTGTAACTTAATCTGGTGCACCTCCTGAGAGACTGCTTGCTGTCTTCCAGGGACTACTTTCTGACACATCAGTATGTGGAGAGAGGTTGGCTTGGGTTCATTAGGCAGAATACAATCACAGATCCCCAAGTCAACAATTCACTGTCTAAAGCACAGGAACATTCTGAGGTTACTAGAAATACAATCATTGCTGAATATCCAGAAGTGTGGAAGAAGAAAAAGGAAAGATAAATTTCTTTTTTTAAATGACAGAAAGATAAGAGGAACTGAGGAGAAGGAAAACTCAGGTGAAAATATTCTACTACTTATACATCATATTCAATGGCTGTAATAGCAATGTATATAAAGAACTTGCTTGAAATAATTATGTCAAAACTCTCAGATGAAGTTCAGTGCAGCTGTTACTCAATGTTTCAGCAAAGACGACTAGTGAATTGCTAGTTTAAAACAGCTGGATGATCTCTGTGTAATGATGAAAGCCATGCAGAGGAGCAACTTCACTTCATGACTTCAGTTTTCCCAGCTGAATTTGTCCCAATTCTGAGACCAGGGTTATTGATTCAAGCCCGTCTGAATTTCTTACTATACCCACAATTGCTACCCTACCCCACCCCCGCTACAAGTTACAAAGGAATTTAAAAACTTGAAGTTGATAGTTACATTTTCTTTAAAACCACTCTATACTGTGTTTTTATTAGAACCAGATTCTACCCCATAAGCATAGACCTTACCAGAGTCTGGACTATGGCATGGTTGGTGGCGTTCATGTGGGCATTAAGTGGAAAAGAACATTCTCCATCACAATAGAAGGCAGCATACCCTTCTGGCGCTATAATCCAATCCTGAAATGCACAGAATCAAGAAAATTCACATCATATAGGTGACAGTAAAACAGATAATTCTTAAGGAGCACTAAAAGTCCAGCTTAACCTACATCCTTTCATTTTTAATTGACATTTACAACAAAAGTATAAATATTTTTACAAGAAATGGTCATTTCCAATTTCTCCCAAGAGGTTACTATATGAAACATAGTCTACATTAATCATTCTGTTTTTGAGACTAAAACTAAGATCATAAAATAGTATTCTAAATATTATTTAAACTGGAAATGATTAACTCTGGGACATTCAAGTGAACCACAAAAAGTAGGGAGTGGATGAAGTCCTGAGTGGATCTGTTACTGACAGGAGCAAGGCCATGTCAAAGACCCCAGTGACTCAGAAAAATAGCAAGGCCGTGCCTGGGATAGGCTCAGAGGAACAGCAAGGCCTTCCCTGGGATAGGCTCAGAGGAACAGCAAGGCCTTCCCCAAGTCGAAGTAATAATGTTGACAACATGTGCAGAAAATATCGGCCGCAGCTCCTCCTCCAGGACAACTGCAGCTGCCACTGCTCCCTCCAGAGACCACCTATGAAGTTTATCAGTTAGTCCACCTTAGCCTTCTTCATCTGTATATAATAAGCTCTGAGTGTCCCGGCTACTGCTGGGACAGCTTCATCAGAATACATGACCCATCTGATCCCAACATTTCTGTCTGTCATTTCTTCATTCCCAGCCACCCTAGTCAGGTCAATACAAAAGCCCTGCAGGCCAAGGCAAATGGTATCCAATGTGGGTCCTTGACCGCAGGGAATTCACATCAGTCAAGCAGGGAAAATGCCAGTGACGAGTGCAAGCATGCAAAATAAAGTAGGGGAGGGGGAGCATTTCTGCAAGTTGGGCGTAAACCATGGGATGAGCAGGCTATAGAAACTGTTATATGTTCGTGCTTTGGAGGAGTTTTGAAGAATCAAAAAAATAAGGTAAAAAACATTCCAACTGCATCAGGGTTTAGACTGTGCTCTGGAGACATGTCCAGAGGAAAGGAACTATGAGGATGCCCTCTCCCAACCTGTGGCACAATTGCACCTTGGGTCTGGGTTGCAACAAGGTTTAAGGGGAGGTAAACTGGCTCCTTGACAGCAAACTTTGTTTAGAACAAGAGATTCGGAGGACAATACCAATGGTTTTGACTGCTTTTCTGTGTTTGGGTGACCTGATCCAGACTCAAAATGAAATGTCAGAGGAGAAAGCATGAGACCCGGGGCTGGAAAAGAACTCAGAAGTTATATTTCTGATAGAGCTAGTGATTGTGCCAATGCAGAGCAGTCCAGTCCAAGAAGTCCACTGGATCCACAGACCCACCCAACAGCTGCGTCACGTCTTTCCGGACCTGGTTTTATTAATCACTGCCTCGATTTTGGAGGCCACTTCTCTAACTACCTGATGTCCCAATGGGTCCCAGTCAACTATTTGAAATGGGCTATGACTTTACTCAAATGTGTTTCTCCTTTATTATTTCCTTAGTAGGAGCCACCCTGCTATGGAATGGTACGCATGTTAAATTTAAAAAAAAAAAGTGGAACTCCTAGAATTTAATAGCCCACCCCCACTGAGAATCTGCAGTGCACATAGTATTTATTAAATGGGTCCCTGGCTATACTCCCTGAAGACATTGCTTGTTAGACACCATTCAAGTACACAATGTCAATGGCATTAATGTCATTCAGTGGGCCACTAATGGCTCCATAGAAGTAATAATACAGTGTAATGGCATTCACCCAATCTCCAGCTAGACAAATGACCGTATATAGAACTATAGCAATTGGCAGCTGTCAACCTTTGAAGTATTACCAGTTGGTCAATTGATGACCTCAGTGTGGATAAAGGGGGGTTACAGACAGATATCAGATAGGATTTGATATGTCACACAGATTGCCAGCACATATGTGTGACAGCAACTCTTATAATGAAAGCAAATATAATTGGGAAATAATTAATACCCACTTCTGGAGTGCTTGAACACACCATAACAATACTGTAGATGTGGCCCAAAGACATTGTACACCCTGGAATTGCAAAAGGCTTATAGCCAGATTGTCTCCACTGCTAAGACTGCAAAAGTGAACTTTGATGAGGTTCAAGGCTCCAATCACTTTAATTTGTTAAAGCTTTCCTTGTTTTTGTGTTGGTCAGAATGGCTGTTTGTTCTTCCTTTGGTCAGCCTTACTGCCTGGTATTGGGCATTGCAAAAACCAGTTTGGTAGTAAAAGTGAAGACACCCTGAACATCTAAGTAATAAGAAAGGGGGAAATATTTAGAGCAGGTAAAACTCAGAGTGACTGTATATTACGATCATGGCCTTGTCAAGACCCCAGGGCCTCAGACTCATGAGAATAGCTAGGCCTTCCCCTGGAATAAGTACAGACATTGTCAGTGTATACAGAAAATATCACCTGCAGTTTCCTTCTCCAGAATGACTACAATGTGAGTCTGCTCCCCTCCAGAGACCCACACATACTAAAACACACATACCTAGATACCCTTCCCTTCTTCATTCAAGTTCTATAGACTAAGTGCACTGAGTTTCTGGGGTACTACTGGCGCATCTCCACCAGAGAACACAGTCCAGCTGATCCCAGATTTTCTGCATGTATATCTGTCCTTTCTTCACCTGTTGCCCTGTTCAGGTCAAATCCCAAAACTACATAGGTTTCAACAATAAAAGACATAGAGAACGGGACTGAGATAATTCTCTTCACTGTTAGACAACACATTCCCAGCGTAAGAGTCTTCCAGACCAATGAAGCTTTATCATCTGCCTTATTCGTGTTTTTCTTTTTATTATTATATTAATTTACAATGTTTTAGACAAAACAAATTACAGCAAATTTTTGAACACTGTGTGTGAAAAATTTCTAGGAAATTAAAAAGTGTCCCATGGAATATTTATTATGATTTCCCCACCCTCAGAGAAACAAAACTCTGTGTGTGATTATGAATTATTATCTGTAATGAAAGTTTATTCATATAATTGGATGTTTTGTGAAGCAGAGGACATCATCACTCTAGTGAAGGGACAACCTACAAAATGGGGTAAAGTCTTTACCAGCTATATATTTAAAGGAGTATTAATTTCTAGACTGCATGAAGAATCAAAACAATTAAACATTAATAAAATTAACAACCCAAATAAAAAATTGGGAAAAGAACTTTAGTTCTAAAACAAAAATGGCATACAAATATCCATTTTAACCAATACACTGAAAACTAAAACTTTTTTGAAATTTCAACTTACCCTAGTTATAATTCCTAAAGTAAAAACAAACAAAGAAACAAAATGTTGGCATGAATGTGGGGAAAGAGGAACATTTATTCACTGCTGGTGAGAAAGAAACTGATGCAGTCACTATGGCTATCACCACTGAAGTTCCTCAAAGAGCTTAAAGTAGACCTACCACATAATTCAGCACAGCACTCTTGGGTACACCCAAATAAGTCTAGATCCTACTATAGAGATGCTAGTCATCCATTTTCATTGATGTTCTATTTACAATAACCAGAAAATCAAAACAACCTAGTTGTTGATTGGTTGATGAGTGGATAATAAATATGTAGCATATTTATGTTACTGAATATTATTTTGCTGATAATATAATGAAATTAACAGGTAAATGGATGATTCTGGAAGTACTCATTATGAGTGAGACAACCCAAATCCATAAAGACAAGCATCACATTTTTGTCTCATTTATGAATGTTATCTTTGAATCTTCAGATGTGTGTATTTTATTTGAAATATCCAAGGAAGTTGGGAAATCACAATGGGCTATGGGAAGGAACTTTTAAGAAAAGTGAAATGCAATGTTAAATGTGACTAGTGGAACCAGAATGGTTAAATTTGAGTGGAAGGGGCAATTTCAGGGTAGAGGAGAGTATATATAACATTAAAGACCTTTTCTCAAATGTCATATAGAAACACATCACTGTAGAAACTTCCTATGTATAACATATACATATATACACATACATACACAGAGAGAGAAAAAGAGAAAAGAGAATCAAAATGGAGTTACTCTAAACAATGACCCAACTTGACAACACAAGCTAAAAAATAAAAAAGCCTAGTGCAAAGAATAGATTGCTTCTTTAAGAGTTGTTTACCAGTGAGGTTCCAAAGACCTCCAAACATTGCAAGCTATTATCTGTCAGTGTTCTTGGTTGCCTTCCAGAACTTGACAATAAGACTTTGTTGCTGAAGATACCACACACTTGAGTCATAAAAGATGGAGAAACCTAGTGGAATAGACCTGGATGCTTCATCTCTACCAGCTAGCTTCACAGTGCTAGAAGGCACTATCTTTATTATTGAAGAAGGAGAGTAATCTTTAATCTTACCCAACTCTGAACTGCATCAGATAAAATGATGACTGGCCTGCCAAGACATGCCCCCGGTACAATAGTGGCCCTAACGTCATGGAACTAACCAACCATTTTCTAGCTGGATATGTTACAGTCCACAAAATTAAACCTACCTGGCACCAATATTTGATCCAGAACCTATGGCAAGAGAAGTCATAGGCTCTAGAGGATAATCTACTGCTATTCTGCTGTTAAATGGATACAGCATTACCCTAATGACTGGTTGTTATACCCATAGCCTATAGTACCTCTCAGTCCTCCTCAGAAAAGTTTGCATTGCAGTAGATAGTAATCAACGCAGAGATTCGCACTAGACAAGGTGCAGAGAGTGAGAGACTATAGGATGATCAGTCCTAAATGGAACACACAGCCACTCCCTCCCTAAGCTCAGGGGGCATTGGGGAAGTAGGAGCAGAAAGATATTAAAAGCCAGAGACTGTGTATGATTACAAGGAAGCAGTGTCTTCTGGACACAGTAGGGTAAATACACAATTTGGAGTAGTTGTGACAGTATGCACAAGACTCAAAGCCAGACCAAATCTCAGCATGGACAGGGAAATTGTACATATAATCCCAGCCCTAAACAAGTTGCTAGTGCCAACTGATTGCCAAGAGAGGAAGAGTCCATTTTCTCTAAAAGTGTATCTCCTGATAAACTGACCATAGGCCACTGAAAGGTGCACATACAAGAACATTTGAGCAGCACAAATTTGTCTCAGTTTTTTAGAAGGAACATGAAGTTGGAGGGGTGAGGAAGGGAAGTGGATCTGGGAAGAACTTATGAGGGAGAAAAAATATGATCAAAATATGTTAGATGAAATTTTCAAAAAACTAATTAAATACAAAATAACAAAAATAAAGACAATAAATATTAATGTACATTTCCATCTTAATATTATTTTATAACCTTGTTTAATTTTGTGACTATAATACTGTGAATATGGCTCAAATACTGAGAATGTGTTGTGATAGAACACAAAAGAAATATAAAAGTTTGTATCAAATTGTTCTCAGAGCCATAAGAAATTATTATTTTTTCTTTCTTCTCTACCTCATTTGTGAAACACATTAAAAACATGATAATATGAATTTTGAGTGAAAGAAAAAATTTTGGGCAAACCTGCCTTATGATTTAAACTTAATAGTTGAAATTTCTATTTCCTAGACAGAACCGTGATCCTACCAGAGTTAATGTAGGCGTTTATACTAATCCAAACAATCTTCATAAAATTAAAAGCTCTGGAGGTGCTGTGGAGATGACTCAGTGGGTAAGTGCTGGCTGGGCAGTCAGGAGGACCAAAGTTTGGATACCCAGTACCCAAGGAAAATCTGGAAGATGCAGAACATGTCTATCAAGCTTGCTTATAATCCCAGGATCTTCCACATTGGAGTAGGAGACATGACAATCTCTGGCCTTTGCTGGCAGCCAGCATACCCCCCCCCCCAAAGACTATGAGCTCAAGATTCAGTGAGAGACAAAAATTTCAAAGTGTAAGATGGAAAGCGATGGGGTGGGGCATGTGCTGGTCTCTTCTGGCCTGCACACATGCTCACAGACATGAACGTGCATTTGTATACAAAAATAATTAATTAATAAATTTTATTGTAAATGCAGGGCCTGGTACTATATGCCTATACTCCCAGTACATGGGAGCCTGAGGTCAAAGTAGCATTCAAAAACATCTTGGGCTGCATAAGGAGACTCTGACTCATGCAAAACAAAGGACTTGGACAGTGTTGATTTTATCCATTTTCAAATGTTAAGTTTAAGAACATTGTATTTCCCTAGATGTTTGTTAAACCTAACTCCTTATGCTCCAATGACAAAATAATAATAAGGAAATGAAAATGACATGTGTGAATCACATGCTGAGTAGTCTTCAAAAATGGCTATTATATTGGAGCAATTACTAACAAAGACTCTGACTTGCCAAGGATTTGAGATAAAGCAGAAAAGAAACACCTAAAGTGAACCAGCTTACCTGCCATCCCAGATCCCGGAAACTCACATAGAGCTCATGCTTTTTGCAGGCTTGCTTTTGTTCACTGGTGTTATAATCTGCAGATTAAAGAAAAACAAAAATTTACATTTTAAACAAATGACTGCCTATTAGGTATAGAAGTATACAACTTGTGTTGCGAGGTTATGAATAATGTTTCTGGAAGAGATTATCTATGTTAAGCATGAGTTTGATTCTTTTTTTTTCTGTAAATTATTTTTATTGCCACATTACAGATAATGCAAACTTAAGGATAGCACAAAGTTTAAAACAAAAATTTCAAAATGTTTTCACCTATGAATATATTGGTTTAATATTCTTATTGTTATTTTGACATGATATTTATAATATACCATGAGGCAAAAGTAAACTGGAATGGCACAGTTAAAAAGTGTGGAATCTAGAATTGAGTAAAAACAGAATATACACAAGATTAAAGAATTTAAAATCCTGGATGTTCTAAGTTTAATACTCACATGAACTACATTTATCAAACAGTAGTTTTCCTCTTTCGGTGAAACTATTTAGAAAAAATAACAAATCATGGTTGTCAGACTATTGCCTGCACAAATCATCCCATGAAAATGACATACTTCGTTTTTGAAGAAATAGTGAAACCTAGATATAGAAATGTCTAAAATACAACTGGAAAAATGTTAGCCAGAAATATAGAACATATTAAAGAACTCTGAATCAAGGTCAGAGGACTAAGAATTCAACTTATTTAGGCTCCACTGACCAAAACTGGGTTAATTTAAAGATGAATATAATAATAGAAATTGATTAAAATACTTGAAATATATTTTAATCAATGGATTCCACAGAGATACTTTAAAATGTTTTAAAAGGTTATTAAACACATGTGACAGATGCTAGAAACCAAATATCTTTGGGAGCCTAATTAAATAAGAAAGGATCACAAATTTAGCTGGCATTTCCTGCACATATTTTTTTTTCCTTTACTGGGACTGAGAATTTTGGCTTAACTGTGTCATTCAGGCAAGTTAATTTTGTAGAATGGAGAGTATTATTTGCCTTATAAGATTCTGAAAAGAATTCTATTGTCACATCTATGCCAGCCATAGGCTGGTGCTGCCATTCACTGAGTACTAGCTGTTAACTGTGTGATTATTGACTAATTCAGTCACACTAGTGATACATCACATAAATATGTGGTGCACATTCATACAATATTTCCTGAAGGGGTGCTTTCAGAGAAGATGTCAGTGTCTTCTGAGATTTTATTTAAGTAGGTATCGTCAATATAATATATACTATTTTGAGTTTCTGAGCATCACTCAAAAGCATGTCTACTTTTAGGCATATTCATTATGGCTAAAGGAAGTATCCAGACAGAAATCAATCAAACGACAAGCTTAAGAAACCCACACCTTTTTTCCTTTCATTCTCAAGTCCATTCTATCATGAAATCACACACATAACTTTCAAACAGATTTCAAACCCACTTGCTCACTCTGTCCATCATTGCTCCTGGACCAAACCACCATCACTATCCAGGATTACTGCAGTATCCTAAGTGGCAGGCTCCCCACCTCCCCTCTACAATAAAGTGCTAAGTGGGCTTCCATCAAATCAACTAAGCATTTGTCTGAAAGAATCCCTCCATCATGGATGGAGTCTTCTCTAACTAGCACATTTAAATCTGTAACTATCCCAATAGTCCTCATTTCTCTTCTTTGGTTAGGGTGATTTAGTGTTTCTCTTACACTTTGTGAAATTCTCTGGCATTATTTATTCATTACATGCATGACGTCTTATCTAGATTGCATCTCTTAACTAATTCCTCACCAAGACAACCTATCTAACTCTGGTTCACTGTTGTATACCAAGTACAAAAAATAGTAACTGACACATAATATGCATTTCATAAATATTTGGAGAATGAATGAACTTATTTCCCATAGTTCTCCATGAGTAACTTAAGACAGACACATTGTTTCTATTATATATTTTAATGCATTGAAAAATGTTAAAATTTCATAATTTTTCAAAAGTCTAAATATGAATGTAAAACTCTAATCTTGCATCTGAAACAAAGTAAATATCTCAAAAATACAAAACTTTACAGAACATTTTTTTTGTTTTCTCTGGGATTTGCTCACACTTTTTACAAATAGCATTCTAAAGGATTTTTATTGGTGAAAAAGGGAAAAATAAAAAGCAATATATATATATATATATATATATATATATATATATACATATATATAATATTTCACCATCCATATTAATGATTCAAATGCTAATGAAAGAGCATCACACTAGACCCAAATGATGACTCAGTTGTCCTTATAATTACTTCAAATCATTATTTGCCTGATGTCAATTTAGAAAACAAAATAGTAATTAAAATTTGAACAAGATTTTCCTCTTATGCAATAACTGAATAAATATATGTTAATAGTGAAAAATGAAGAAAACTTGTTTTAAGAGTATGTCCTCTTGCATTCAGGGAAATTTCTTCCTTAATTTGAATAATACCCTCAAACAATTCTATTCAGGCAGTGGACAATCATGTTTTTGACAATTAACATTAAATGAATACACACAGAGAGATTAGATGATAGATAGATAGATAGATAGATAGATAGATAGATAGATAGCAGACAGATAGATGATAGGTAGTTAGGTAGATAGACAGACAGACAGATGGGTAGATACTACATGTACAGTTATTGCAATTGCATGTTTAAAAAGAAAGTAAATAAAATTAAAAGCCCAAATATCTCATATAATTAAAGTAGTTTCATAAAGATTAAGTGTGATATATATTATATCACATAAATGTAATGAGCAATTAAGTTTAAAATGGACTCTTGTTCCAAAAGTCTGATGTCATGGAGAGTTGTATCCATACACTTATTCTGTCAGAAATAAAAATTAACGGGTACTGAGGGAAGTAAATATTTTAGCCAAATCAGCAAAGTCTGGAGTTAGGTTCATGCTCAATGGTTGGCAAACTAAGCTACAGGAAAATGGGCAAGGAAATGATGTTTATAGCTTTAAAAATATCAAGTGGCAGTCCTTAGGAGATTAAATGAAATGGACATAATTCTACAAATGAAATCATGCACCCAACTCCACTCTGCCCACAGCTGCTTGCCAGGAATCTTGACCTTCACCTGGACTCTCACTCCACTACTAACTCATCAGAGCCTGTACCCACAAGGCCAGGCCACCTGGCATGAAGACACATGTAATTTATCTGTGTTCCCCATCATAACGCCTCCCAACTCTGACCACCATGGAGCAGTTTGTACCAAATCCATCCTTAAGGCTCAGAGAAGCCCACACATCCTATGCACTGACCAGGCAAGCCTACATGACCCTGTCCTGCCTGTGTAATACCCAATTCCCAGCCTACATCTGAACTCACAAACACAGCCTGGGCCAACCTGATGAGCCCAATCTACACGTTTCCTAACCTCCATGTCAGGCCAGGTGGCACAGCCTAGGTACCAGCCCAGTGTGCTGTGTCCACATCAGATGCACAACCAACGATAGAAGATCACACGGCCAGATCCCATATAAAAATAATATAAAGTATCAAGGCATTATGAACCCTCGCCCAAAATCTACCAGTACTATCAGAAACATTCTCCAATGAGAATTACATAGATGAAACCCAGGATACAGAAGCTAAAAGAAAAATCACAAACTTTATCAAAAATGTCAAGGAACGTAAGGAAGACACAAACAGCTCAGTGAAATTAAAGCTAATGAACTCAAAGTGAATAATTACCTGAGGGATGTGAAAGAAAATACAAGCATAGGCTGAATGAAATAACTAAATTCAATGAAGAAAGAAACACTGATGCAAACTCAAGCTAAAATGAGGTCGTAATTGAACAATTAAATAACTAGAAAAATCAAGGGATTCTGTAACTAGAATGGATTAAATAGAAGATAGAATATTAGGACTTGAAGATAGAGGAACATGAACAAACAAGCAAAACATATTAATTTATTTAGAACACAGGAAAGGAACATGCTGGAAATGTGGGACACCATCAAAAAACAAAGTCTTCCAATTATAGGCATAGATGAGGTAGAATAATCACAGGTCAATGGCAAAGACCACATTCAACAAGATCATAGAAGAAAACTTTCATAAACTAAGGAAAAGCATACCCATAGATATACAAAAGGCACACAAAACCCCAAACTAGACAAGACTCACACAGAGAACCCCAACAACCAGACAAGACCAGAAAAGACCCTGTGGCAAATCATATTTGCATCACTAAATATATGAAAAAAGAAATATTCTCAAAAATTGAAAAGAAAAAGTACAAGTCACACATAAAGAAAAACCTACTTGAATAACAGCTAACTCCTCAATAGAAACTTTGAAACTCGGAAGAACCTGAAGCAATGTATTATGAATTCTAAAAACCACAACTGTCAACCAAGATTACTGTACCCAGCAAAACAATGTACCATGTTGAAGGAAAATGAAAAACTTTCCATGATCCCAATGGGCTAAGACAATTCATACCCATCACAGCAATTCTAAATAAAATATAGGAAGAAGTACTAGAACTGAGGAGAGAAGGAATCATAACTGAGAGACTGTAGGAACTCCTCTAATTACTGAAAAATTTAACTAAAAATAGCAAAAAAGAAGCATATTAATAACTTCAAATATTAATGGCCTTAGCTCTCTAATCAAAAGACAAAGGCTGTTTGAATGGACTAAGGAAAGAAAATTCACCCTTCTGTTGTCTCCAAGAAATCCATCTTTAAAGAAAGACTTTACCTTAAAGTGAAAAAGGATGGAAAAAGAGATTCCAATAAAATGGGATCAGGAAAGAAACAGGTGTTGCTCTCCTAACATCTGACAAGATGAACCTCAAACTAAATCTTATCAGAGCAGATAAACAAGGACACTTCATTCTCCCTAAGAGAACAATTAATCGAGAAGGCATTGTAATTCTAAACATATATGCACCAAGCTGGGGTGAACACAATTTCATTTAAAAAAAAATTTACTACTGGAAGAAAATAAACAGACTTAACATTAAATCATTAATAGTAG